CTTATTACGTGATCTAACGTGACTAACTTACCTGAACCACTTTGTTTCTTGAGAGCTCTATAGATCTTTCCGTAGCCGCTGTCTTCGTTGAACGAGAGAGAACTTTCGTGTGCATGGACAACAAATACAGCGTAATCCACGTCTTTCAAACTGGGAATTGTTTTCTCAGCTTCATCAGTAATTTGTCCACCCCTAAACGGATGTTTCACGATTTTCGAGATCTTGAATGGAATCTTATTTTCAACGGCTTTCAGTAGTGATTCCACTTCACTTAAATTGCATAAGGTATCGCAATTAAAAAGGTAAATAGTCTTCCCTTTTGTGTCCGCCAAGCCACTGCCTACAGGTTCTTCTACATGGCGTCTGACCTTACTTTTCTGTTCCTCTTGGTAACTGTAGGGATGGAGGCATGTTTCATTTTCTTCGTTCGGCACCAGTGTTTCTCTGTCATCTTTCATCACAAACTGCCAGAAATGCAAGTGGTTGTTAATCTACCTCTACTTTTCGTTTCATTCACCAGATCACTCTTTTCCGCTTAAATCCGTTTTCAAACAAATGTAAGACGGTATCTGAGTTTTTCTTGCACTAACTTTGCTAACGTAGTCGTCCTCCTAATAAAGGTAAGTGACGTATGATACCTTTGCTTTTCTCAACTTTGTCTTGAAAGCTTTGTCTTGCAAATGTTTATACCATGTAAACAGGATAAATGTAAGTTTAACAATGACACAATAATACAAGAAACTCGCGTCAAATCAACAAAATCTATTCGGAAAATTACAGTTAGATCATTCATCATTGACTGCATGTGGCAAATGAAGAAGTAAAATTTTAAAGAAGTCTGACCCGGACATCAGCCGTTGCATCATTGAGAACCGGCTTGGGGCCAGGTCGCCTGGTTAAAAAAAGCAACACCAACAACAACAACAACGATACTCAAGCACGCATTACAGGGCTGTACTGTAAGGGAGGAATCAACTCTGAAAGTTTTGTAAACATCAACACAAATTCAACAGACATCTAAAACAACCTCGATGATTTTCAATCTTACCTGTTCTCTATCCAGAAAGAACATTTTGCATTTTCTGTACTCATCTTCTGTAATTGTAGTTTTCAGTTTCACTTTATCAAGGCCGAGCTTCTGCAGGACTTGAGCTGTCACAAGTCTTTCTTCCGCTACTTCATTGAGATGGCCGCTGCTGTAATCTTTCCACAGACCTTCAAGGATTTGCAGTGAGCTGCATGTCACAGTTATCAACAAACTTCCTAAGTTGTAGTTTGCAACACCGACTTCCAGCTGAACTCTCAAGTATTCTAGAAACAAGTTGAAGGATTCCTTAAATGACAGAACGACTTGCCAAAAGCTAATCTCTGTTGAAGGATCCCGACGGTTTCTTTGATGAGGATAACTGGATTGTGGTTGCTCTTGGCTACTGGGGAATGTGATCACCGTTCTCGGGTTAATGGTATTTCCACCTTGCGAGACGCTCTCCACCGTGATTTGAATTTGAATTTGAGGAGAGTCTGTAAGTAAAAAAGAAAATGATACCAAGTGAAATTCATCAACTTTAACCGATCCTTGATGACCTTGTGAAGGACAAATGCTGTATTAAACTGCAATCGTGTGATTCAATAAGCACGGTGGCCTAGTAAAGTTTCCGTTCAAATTACGCCTAGACTGACAGCACTCCGACTCTTTTGCTCCAAAAGAAGAAGAACGCAAACGCACGATTTTCGAGTGGCAAACTCGTAAGTCGAAAGTAGCTCATGTTTCGCCCCTCGCTCCTCGAAAATTGCGCTCGTTCTCTCAGCGTTTGCGTTCTTCCCAACGGATTTTAAACCAAAAGAGAGACTGACTGTGCACAGCCTAAGCTACTTGAAACAGTACTAACTCTTAACTTTCAATTGTGATCATATTATTATCCGGATATACTAAGCCAAGCTTAAGGAATTCAGTCGATCTCGATTTTTAAAATATTTTTAGTTTGTTAAATATTTTGGAAGGTTACCTAGTTTTTGCTGGATAATTTTGTTCTGATCTCTGACTTGCTGCAGCTCATTTCGTAATTGTTCCACTGAATCTTTGACTTCCATGTCGTTCTTGTACCATAAGTTAAGTTCGTCTAGGTATCTCTGTGCTTCTGGCGTTAGGGGATCACTAAGCAGTTTAACAATGGACTTATTCCACTCATCTCTCTTTGCCTGACTAATAGATCCAGCAATTCGAGAAAGAGCCTCACTGATTTCCTTCCAAAGATTACAGAATTCAGATTCTATAATTTCCATTTTGCTGTTGTGCCCGTAAACGGAATTGCGGTAGTATTTTATCCGCGCTAAATCAGCTTCAAGACTGTGGTCTGTACTGTTTGGAAGATTATTCCATCCCGTGACAGGCTTTGTTAAGTTGCATATTGTTCTGAATAGTCTAAACATTAAAGTGATATCGAAATCGGCGGACTTGCCAAACGTACCAGGGGAGGGGTAGAGGCATTTCCATTCTGGTGAGGAGAGATTTGCTCGTCTCAGCTTGGTTTTTATAGCAGGATCACTAAGCTTTAATGGAAGATCAGCGGGCATGTGCAAAGAATCAAACTTTTCTTTTAGAAGCCTGACGCCTCCAGACATCAGAAGTCTTGTAAGTCGTTGGAAATTTTGTTTCCCGTTCGTTGAACGCAAGGCTTCGTCTGCGTCTGTGACGGAAGCCATTGTCCCAATACTTGATCACACGTCATACAACGATCTTAATCCTAAAAAAGAAAGATTAGAAAACAAGTGATTCAAGAAATTCTTTATCACTTGATGCTACAATCATGGTACCAAAAACTGTCCAACCATTGTTGAACACGTTGTTATAAATTTGTGACAGAATAGGTTACCATAGCAACACTATGACCTGCTAAAAACACCATTAATTACAGCTTTGGGGCTTCTAATTCAAAAGACGCCACCTTAAATTTTTGAAAATTTAAGAGGACTNAGCAGGATCACTAAGCTTTAATGGAAGATCAGTGGGCGAGTGTAAAGAATCAAACTTTTCTCTTAGAAGCCTGACGCCTCCAGACATCAAAAGTCTTGTAAGTCGATGGAAATTTTGTTTCCCGTTCGTTGAATGCAAGGCTTCTTCTGCGTCTGTGACGGAAGCCATTGTCCCAATACTTGATCACTGACACGTCATACAACGATCTTAGTCCTACAAAATAAAGGTTAGAAAACAAGTGATTCAAGAAACTTGTTGCGTGAGTGAACTTAACGTGGCTCAAAACAGTTTCCAGCAGGTAGATTTTGATGGGTCATTGTAACCACTCTTTATCACTTGATGCTACAATCCTGGTATGAAAAAACTGCCCAATCATTGTTGAACTCGTTATCATCAGTTTTGTGACAGAATAGGTTACCATAGCAACAGTATCACCTGCTAAAAACACCCTTAATTACAGCTTTAGGGGCTTATAATTCAAAAACGGCACGGTGAAATGTTTCTATATTATCAAATTTTGATAAGCATGATAAGACGCCACCTTAAATTTTTGAAAATTTAAGGGAACTCTGAACCCTATGAACAGAAATTTTTTAAACTTTGCCAAAAGTTGCGCCTTATCATGCTTATCAAAATTTGATAACATAAAAAACAATTCACCATACCGTTTTTGAATAACAACCCCCTAAAGCTGTAATTAATGGTGTTTTTAGCAGGTCATACTATTGCTATAATAACCTCTTGTGTCACGAAAATGGTAACAACGTGTTCACCTATCATTGGGCAGTTTTTTGATACCATGATTGTAGCATCAAGTTATAAAGAATGGTTATAATGACCCATCAAAATCGAAGTGCTGGGAACTGTTTTGAGCTACCGCGCCGGGACGGATCAATAGGGAGTTTACGAAACCACGACGGCAACGGCAACGGGAACGTCACTTAACAAAAGAATTAATGAGCAGTACAATGGCTGTGCCCGTGCGTTATAATTCTTGGTACGTTTCTTTGCCGTCCTCAGCAAGACAACAACGTGAAATGACCAAATTTAGCGTTGTCTGGAGAACGTGAACCACGACGGCTATTTTTCTTAAATTTTTATTTCAAATTTATCGTTGTGTTTCGGATTTAGTTTTACGATAGTTTTGACAGTGATAAACAAAGTAAATGACTTTAGAGTATCGCGAGATTCATAGGTAAAATATAAATTCAGCTTTTAATCGAGGTTGTCCTCCAAAAAAGATTCCTGCACTGCAAATGCTGCTGAAAAAAAATCTTGCAAGGGAAACTATGGGGAAAAATAAATCGAGCAAGTCAGCTTTTTACTACTTTTGCCCAAGCCCCCTTTTGNCCAAATGAGAAGCGTTCCACACCGTGACCTTAGTACACTACGCATCGCGTGACATCTTAGTGACCGGGAGAGCATTTCATTTCCCTGCCCCGCAGCGTAATAAATGAACTCACGATTGACGAAGACCCTTGTTAACAGCAAATGTATACAAGAATCAAAAATCGTGCGGTAAGGCCTTGAAAAATAGAATTTGCCCTACTGTTGCATATAAGTAGGCCTTAGTAAAAGTAAAAACGCTCTGTAGTTTTTTTCCTTCAAATATCTTGGTATTTCCGAGAAAAAGGGCATTATCGGTTTCACGTCCAGACATCAATCTAACGAGTTCAAAGTTGGTTGTATTACAACTTTTCTGTGCTCAGTAGTTGCGAAATGCGAATCGAATGGAAATGGTCAATTTTCAACCCAGTTATAAAAACTTAATGCAGAACTATTCCTTGTCCAAAGAAGCCCAGTCTCAAGAATATTGGATTTATCTAACTATTTAGCGGTAAACAAAACCAAAGTATTCTCCAACGATGAGTTCGTCAGTCGGTGAGAACAATTGTCATTTTGACCGTGTGCCATGTCTCGGAATTCCAAAAGATTTTAGATTCTAGCTACACTAGGATAGGTCTTTCAATATATGTAAAGTTTAGTTTGTGCAAATGATTAGGCACTCGTCAAAACATTATTCAAATCATACACAAAAAAAATTTAAATCACGCCAGCAGTCGAATGCGTGACCAAAAGCACTACCATTGTTTTTGTCGTACGTTAAATCACTTCAATTCGAAATTAAACATCACAGGAATATCAGCACGACTGAAGCATAAACCAACATATATATGTTTACCTTAGCTGGGTTATCATGTCTTGACTGTCAAACAACATTCCTATCCTGCCATTTCAACGGTGTTCCATTAGGTTTTCATAACCCGTACGCATTCGTCTGGTGATTTTGAATTCCCCAAATTGCTCAATATTACCAAGTTCCTATGCAAATGTTCCTACGTCTTCCCTTTTGCTGTTCGGTATAATCATTCAACCTGCTATCAGGCAGAAATCCCCAGTAATTAGCAGTAACAAATAAGCCGCCATCTTCGATGGCTCCGCGTCTCTTATTTGCATATTGTCCAGCAAAAGTCTTTGCACACAGGGTAAGGGTAGAGTGGGATTTATTTCCGAAAGAAAAAGCGTTAGAATTTTTCCAATATGTTAGTTCCAATTCAGGGCCTCCTTTCTTAGGTAAAGCGATAAAATGGTACACGCGAAAAATTCAAACAAAGAAAAGCAACTCTGTTAAAAGCTCTGAAATCCCGACCCTCATCCCCATGTAAAATATGTTGTAACGCACGGGATTCGGATCTTCAGTCAAAATGGAGGACTTTCAAACGTCTTCAAGATGGAAACCCGAAAGTCGCACGTAGAATAACGCTTTAGCAGTTACTACTGGCTTAATCAAACGACACAAATAAAACAGATAGATGATACATACATGGGACTTGGCAGTTAACTGTTTTTCTTCAAGTCGGATATGAATACTGACTGAAAATTATATGCAGGGAAAGAATCAGTTTGCAAAATTCTTAGCTCTTATTAACCGAGCTGGAGGTCTGTATGGGAGAATCTTGACCGAGGTCGTGAGT